TCCCTCCCCTTCTTTCATTTGTGTCCTTGATCCCCGATCCCAGCAGCATTCACCGAAGGCTTCTTAACATTATATCGGCGTATAACACGCATACATCATTTGCCCCCTATTTTCAGGGGGAAAAAAGTGCGTGTTATACGCCGATAAATACGGTAATATGCGGACTCAGTAAACTAGAGATGGCTGTAAAGCACTGTGAAGCTGTAAAGCACTGTAAATGCTAAATTTTACGTTATCGTAAATACCTTTAAAAAAATGATTGAAATGTTAGTGAATAATGATACATCAAGTTTTTGGATTCTTCTGGAGTGCTTGGATTTTTTCCCCCTGAGTTCTAGAATATGACTTCACCTCTTTTGCACTCCTCAGTGGTCCTTTTGTCATTACATTCATTCATTCATTAATTCATTCACACCATAGTGGTTAGAATGCAGTATTACAGGCTAACTCTTCCCACTGCGAGGAATTTGATCCTGATGGGCTCAATCCTACTATCCTTCTGAGGTTGGTAAAATGAGGACCCAGATTGTAGCGGCCCATATGCTGATTCTGTAAACCAGTTAAAGAGGGCTCTAAAAGCACCACGAAGTGGTATATAAGTTAAGTGCTATTGTTATTCATTCAGTTATTCTTTTTTTTTTCCTTTCTTTCTTTTTATTTCCTAGTGGGTAAACCTGGCCAGCACTCCCTCATTCCTTGCTCTGGAGATTTAATGAAAGCCAAAGACATCTTCACCAAAAAGTGAGTTTCTCTAAAAACAAGGGTCTTCAATCTTGACAGCTTTAAGACTTATGGCCTTCAACTCCCAGAATTCCTGAGCTAACATGAGTGGAGGAGGAATTCTGGGAGTTGAAGTCCACAAGTCTTAAATCTGTCAAGTTTGAAGAACTCTATTCTAAAACTTCTGACAGCATCCTTACCCCACTCAACATCTCCCTTCTCCTGAAACTGATTTTTTTTCCCCTCCGAGGTTCCTAGAGAAAACCAAAAATGAATGGAACACACGTGCCAGCTTCCAGAAGGTCACAGGGAAATACGATCTTATTCATCTGGACTACAAAGCCAACAATGCTGTAAGGTTTTTTGACAGAAAGAGCAGAGGGGAAAAAGCAGCTTAGGAAAACAGAAGGATATTTTGTTCATGAGGCCTCATTTTGCATTCCTGCCAGGACAATCCAGAAGCTGCCCCCAAGAAGACAGTTTCCATACCCCAGGTGGTCTCCCAACTGGACTTAAGGGTACAGGCTTTGGTAGAGTTGATATGTAGTATTCAGACGATGGAGGAGATGGTGATCGAGATGAAGTACGACACCCGAAAAGCTCCACTAGGTACGCTACCCTGGTTTGTCCCTCTTACCCTTAGTTTTAATTTACTTATAAGGAAGACAACTTGGCCCCCTTCAAAAAACCACTTTTTTTTAAGTAGAGAAAGGGCACTAGGGTGAAATCATCTTTTAAAAGAAATGAGAAAGGTTTCCCTTGCGTAGGAAATTTATTGAAAATAAACACAGGTAGTTCTTAACTTTACCACCTGTTCTGACCCAGTGTTCGCAAGTAATGATAAGCCATTTACTTGCAAATAAAACAAGCCCCTTTTCATAACAGGGCAGTAACAGTCTTTTATTCACGTGGATAAACCAAAAAAATCAAACGTAATTAGTCCCAATAAACCTGGGTTTAGTTTAGCCAAGAAATCCGAATTGCTTGCTGTGGACTAGAAACAAACAGTTGTCTGTGACAACAGGCTACTCCCAAATGCCTTCTATTTATTTCCTAGCCAGAGAGAGGCTGGCTAATGTCCACGTCTGCTTTTTCTTGAGATCCAGCTTATTGTTTTTCCTTTGCTGTCCTCCTCTGTACACAAATGAGCATCTGCGATGTGCGCCCTCTGTTTCTCACGCTCACTCATCTCAGGCCCCCTCCGAAGCTGGCCCGGGCTCACCCTCAACCTCCTCTTCATCTGACTCTGTAGTTGGCTCTGCTGGCAGCCGATGGGCCACAACATAACCATTCAGTTTAGCAATTGTTCAAAGTTACAACGGCACTGAAAAAAAGGGACTTAAACAACCAGTTTTCACACTTATGACTGTTGCAGCATTTCCATGGTCAGGTGATCAAAATTCGGACGTTTGGCAACTAGCATGTACTTATGACAGTTGCAGTGTCCCAGGGTCATGTGATCACTGTTTGTGACCTTCCCAGCTGGCTTCCAACAAGCAAAGTCAGTGAGGGAAGCCAGGTTCACTTAATAACTGTAGGATTCACTTAACCCTAATTAATGTAACAACTGTAGTAATTTGCTTAGCAACAGTGGCAAAAAAGGTCGTAAAATGAGACAAAACCACTGACTTGCTTAGCATCAGGCATTTTGGACTCAATTTTGGTCACAGGTTAAGGTCTACCTGCATTTGCCAAGAGCTGCTATTAAACTGTGGAATGCAACTCGCTGGCATAAATAAATATAAGCTCAGAAAATAGTTAAAAAACCTTTGTTGAGGAGGATCTTGGCTCATGTTTTTGACAGTGATGAGCAGGATATTTGAGTGAGTACCAGCAAGAGAGACAGATTGTAGAAAGTACAAGTAGTCCTTGACTTACAACATTCCATTTAGCGACTGTTCAAAGTTACAACAGCACTGAAAAAAGTGACCTGCGACTGTTTTTCACAGTTAACAACCTTTGCAGCATTCCCCATGATCGTGTGATCAAAATTCAGATGCTTGGCAACCGGCTCATACTTACGACCGTTGCTGTGGCCCGAGGTCACACAATCCCCTTGCGCGACCTTCTGAACAAGCAAAATCCTTGGGGGAAGCCAGATTCACTTAGCCAGATTTCCTAGCTTAACCATTGCAGAGATTCGCTTAACAACTGTGGCCAGAAAGGTTCGTAAAATGGATAAAAACTCACTTAGCAACAGAAATTTTGGTTTCCCTTGTGGTCGTAAGTTGAGGACTACCTGTGCTGCGCCACTAATTCCACGGGTGGGTTTTTGTAAAGTTTAAACTGCCTAACAGAGCTAAGACAATGGCCGCAATGTGACTGTTGTACCAGAACAAACTATAATATGTACAGTTCAGGAAATTTCCCTCAAGAAATTTCAAGGCACCTGGGATGATCTCATCAGAGGCCCACCAGAAGTTAGATGGTCAGCTTCCTGAGATATCAAATTATGACATCTATTCCAATGGCCCCTGTTCTTTCCCCACTATATGTTAGTCTGTGTGCAGCTTGACATGCAGCTATCCTCCAATAAAACAGATTGCATAAGATCTGAGTGCTTTGTTGAAAGAACAGGATGTGGTGAAACAGCAATGCTCTGTGTATAGGATGTGGTTTTGTCCTTGGATGGCCATGTGGCAAAGATTAAGATGGATTCTTCTTTGTGCTTCTGCCTTCTCCAAATGCTAAAGGAAATGGAGTCTAGTAGAACAACAACAGTATATAAAGATTCTATGTTAGGGCATATTTGTCCCTCCGGCCACTAGATGGGGCTAGAGAGCAATAACAATATATAAAAGTGATATGCTGGAGCATGACAGCCCCCAACCTTTTGGGCACTGGGACCAGTTCCGTGGAGAAAAGATATTCCATAGACCGGAGGCAGTGTGGTTTGCGAACTGCCTGCATCCTGTAGATGGGGCTTCCCTTGTTTGCACGACCTGATTGATGTGGCATGCCAGTCCACGGACCAGGGGGCATGGGGGACCCCTGATCTATCCCATTGCAATTCTATGGTTCCCTATAATTATGGTGATTTGATTGTGGTTTTATCTTAATATATTATCTCCTATATTGTATTGTCCACATATCTTATATAATGTATATTTGTTGATGCTTTATTTAAAGTTAATTTGTGCATCAGTGATTACATGCCATATGCCCAATAAATTAATAACTGCCTGTCTACCTTGAATCCAACTGATATATTTTTTTTTAACCTCTGCTTTAGGAAAGTTGACAGCTGAACAGATCCAAGCAGGATACCGGTCATTACAGAAAGTAGAAGCATGTCTAAAGTGGAGTCAGACAGGTTCTGTCCTGTTGGAAGCTTGCAATGAATTCTATACCCGAATCCCCCATGATTTTGGGTTAGTAGCGCCGAATCCCCATTTTGGAATTGTCCCGGGGGATGGAAACGGTCTTCTTTGGCACTTATACAGGACTATACAAGTCTTTATACAGGTCATCCTCAACTTATTACTGTAATGGAGTTTGCCCATTAGGGTTGTAAGTCACGATGGTCATGTGGTCATGTGACTACAGGGGTGCATTGTAAGCCGGTCATAACCATCTTTCGGGGGTTCCATTGTAACTTAAAACAGTTGCTAAGCAACTTGTTCAAATTTTTACTACCAGTTCTGTGGGCATGGCTTAGTGGGTGTGGCTTGGTGGGCATTGCAGGGGAAAGATACTGTAAAATCTCCATTCCCTCCCCACCCCACTAACCTACTTTCCAGCTCCGTTCTCCTGTGCAGGGCAACAAAAGAAGACCCAGTTAATCAGCTGGGACTCAGGAGGCAGAGGAGAGATGGGCAGGGCCAGTCAGAGGTGGTATTTGCCAGTTCACTGAACTATTCAAAATTTACACTATCGGTTGTCCAGAACTGGTCAGAACCTGAATATCACCCCTGAACTGGTTGTAAATGGAAGACTACCTGTATAACTATTGGGTGTTACTATTCTCCATGTTATTTAAATCTCTCAGCCAGTTTTCTGATCAATTACAACAGCGGACAACATATTTCTCCCCACGTCAAACACGTATAGTTCCGATCTATCTGTAATTTTGCGGAGATATGAATTGTTAATTGAATACCACAATTTGACTACAATTTTGGAGCATTCAGTTTGTGCTTCAAATTAGCTTTAAGGCACCTTAGAACAATGCAACTTGCAAATAGGCCTTATGGTTAAGGTTTATGGGAGTGACTGTTTGTTAACCGTTGTGTGCCCATGCATAAGTGTACCTAGAGATGAGCTCTCTGCTGGTTCATCTGGAATAATAGTGACCTTTTCGGGTCATCTCCTTGGTTGTTTAATTGCAGAGAAGATTTTATTCAATTCAGAAGCGAGAGCCATAGATTTAGTACAAAATCTCAAATCTTTACCAGGCATATGAGGTGTAAACAACTAGAGGGTAATTGAAGAAAGGAAAGACGCTATAAGGAAGGGCTTCTGCAGTTGTTGATTCAGACCACAGTTCCCTCACACACAGGTTCATACTCACACAAAAGTGCTACTCAGATTAGAATCCATAAATCAAAGGACCAATCCTGATCTGTGTCTAATTTTCCCTCTTGATCTCGCTGTATAACTTAGGCAGTCTCCAAATTCAACCTCTTAGACACCTTCTTATTGGTTTAAGCCAGACACAAGAGAGATGCTCTTTCATCTCAGGAAATACATATCAGAGCTGTCCAGTGGTGGAATTCAGCCAATTCGCGCTAGTTTGGGAAAACCAATTGTTAACTTTCTGAGCAGTTCAGTGAACTGGTTGTTGGAAGAAATCATTAGGGCAGAGAACCAGTTGTTAAATTATTATACCACTGTAGCTGTCGCTTAAAAAGCCCACCTGAAAGGGGAACCTTCCCATTCCTAGTTGGTTCTTCCAGATTTTTATCTTCCCAAATGTTGTGTGTTGTATCCTGATAAATTAAACCTAAGCCACAAAATCTGTTTTGGGTTTTCTTTTAACTCTTTTTTGTGTAACAGCCATTTGGAGGGATTTCTCTCTGCTCCCTTATCCTAACATTCTTGCAAACGTTTTGTTATTTATTGCTGAGTTAATCTACCTTCCCACTACTGCCTTCCACAGCCCTGTGTTTGGGGTCATCTATCTGAGAGCATACCGTGCGTAGTAACAGTGTCTTTACTCTAAGATTACACTAACAGATTTTACAAGCTTGAAAGTGTTTCTCCACACCCTTCCCTGTATGTTCCACAGAAACTAGGTAGGGTCTCTTCTGCAATGCTTTCTCCTTCCCTTTGTTTTTGATGCCTGAGATATCGCTTATCTGACTGTTGCCCTGGCTCCAGCTCTTCCTTCTGTCTCCCAAGGTTATTCCCACAGACCTTTACAACTTTCCACTAGATTTTGTTGGTACAACCAGAGGCTGGAAGCCAAACCATGTGCATCCCTGATCTAAGAAGAGTTTTTTGTCACTGGTGCTCATGAGAAGGTCCTCTGAGTCAGCGATGGGCAATTCATCTTTTTAATGCAATTAAATGTTTCATTCTCCTCCTTTTCAGATCAAAAACACCACCACTAATAAGGACATTAAAAGAACTACAAGAAAAGGCACAGCTATTAGAGGTAAGGAAAGTCATATCTAATTGCTCAAGGAGAGAAAGGTTGATGTGTGGACATTCTGACTAATAAGATGAAGGGAATAAATAGTTATTTGGCTTCTGTGCTGAACTGGAGAATAAGGTGAAGAGCATATGTCAATGTTTTGACCTAGGTTTCCCTAACAACTCAAAGCCGAGTCCCCATCCCAATAAACCCCTTTTATTTAAGTTACAGTGAATTCCTCTCCAGCAAAGTCCCAGCCAACAGTCTTTCAAGATAGTTCACAATCACAGATCTTTATCAGGCTTGGAGAGCGGCCAGGACGATATCTTTGAGACGCCAGAATATTTGGCAAGAATGCAGAAATGAACTAATTGTTTCCTGCAAAACCCCACTTCCCCTTTGCTCCTCTTTTATTCCCTATGGAAGCGCCATTCACCGTCCACAGGTGGCTTTACTCCCAAGTCAACTCTTGTTCCTTAGCTATTCCCTTCATCTGGCAGCTCTGTGCATGCACAAACTGGGAACAGGCTCCAGCTGCTCTTCTGCCTCACTGATGTCCGACTCCGAAGGCAGCTGATAACTGTCAGCACTTGTCAGAGCCTTCCCCAGACTCCAGGACTGTCCCATGTTCCTCCCCAACCTCACTGTCTAAATCTGCTGCCAGCTCTGCTGGCGGACCACAACAGTCAGTTCTTCAAGAGAGAAAGATGCCACAGGATACTAGCAGTGCTGTTTTATTGCAGTACGGGATAATAAGAATCCTGAAAAATCTTTTCAAGTTTCTATCCCTCCTTATGATAATTAAAAACAAGGTGGAGTTGAGTTTCTTTAGTATGTTTTTTCAAGTTCTGAATTAAAATTGTTTATCTAAGTTCCTCCTTAATGGTTTTTTCATACCGAGGTCATCCCTAAATTCCTTTACATCAGGGATAGGGAACTATGGCCCTTTTAGGACCTGTGGACTTCAACTCCCAGAATTCCTGGGTCTTCACAGCTGGCTCAGAATTCTGGGAGTTGGTCCACAAATCATAAAGGGGCCATAATTTCCCATCTCTGCTTTACATGATAAGAGTTTCAAAGCTTATATTCTTTCAGGCAGATGGGACTAAAGATAGTTCTCAAATTATGACAGTAATTGAGCCATGCAACTGCAGTTGTAACTTTCAACCAAGTTTTTCCCAACCTGACAAATTCCATGTATTTTGGACTCCAACTCCCACCACATCTGGAAGGCAACCATCCAGATATCTAGCTCCTTCTGAGGTTAATGTTGCCCTATAAAATGTGTGATAGCTACTGTCTGCTGACTTTCTTTTCCACCTCAAGGCTCTCAGTGAGATCCGTATTGGTATCAAACATGTGCAATCAGAACAGTTGGATCTGGAACACCCTTTGGACCAGAGCTACAGGAATCTCGACTGTGAACTCCAACCCTTGGAAAAGGCTAGCAATGTTTTCCAGGTGTGTAGTTGAATAAGTAAGTCATGGAAGAAAGAACATGATGATGCTAATGTTATCCATTCAGTTGAGTCCCGACTCTTGGCAATTTTGTTTGTATGTGTATATTTATTCATTTATTTTGTCATGTTTATGTAGTGTCTCTCAGAGGTGGTGACCCTTTGGGAGCTGTATGCAGTGAAATTTCTTTTTAATGTATGCCGATTAGTGAACATTCAAAATGACAACGAAGTTATTCTGCCTTTCATGTCCTTCAGGTGCTGGAGCACTACTTGCTGTCCACCCATGCTCCCACCCACAAGGATTACACGATGACCCTGGTTGAGGCCTTTGAGGTGAACAAGAAAAAGTCAGAAGCCGTCTTCCGTTTTGACCTGCCCAACAGGTAAGAAGGGAGCCGATGGGGCGAAATGAAACCTATCCTTGGACTATATTCTGAATCTTTCATCTGTCAACTCGTAAAGCATTCCTGGCTTTAGCATTCCTCTTGAGTTGCCATAGGCAGGAGGGGGGAGAACTGATGGAGCAGCTCAGTTGCCACTACCAGAAGCACATTCCACGCATACATTTCTCCATATTGTATCCCAAGTTACTAGAGCCAGCCGGAGAGGCGTGTTTTCTACAACTCTTGAAAGTGCTCCGTTGGAGAATGTGATTTATGACACACTCTGGGAGGAGGGGGGAAACAGGGTCATAGGTGGACATGCCGACCAGTTGCTCCTAATAAATAGTTGGATTTCTTTTGAAACTTGGCTCAAGGCTCATGAATTAATTAGGGCATCAGTGGGAACCCTGACATTCTCCTCCTTTCCCTTCTTCAGGATGCTGCTGTGGCACGGATCTCGCCTGGGTAACTGGGCGGGGATTTTGAGCCAGGGGTTGCGTGTGGCACCACCAGAGGCTCCCGTGACAGGTTACATGGTGAGTCTCTACTTTAGGATGCACTGAACCCAGGATTTGTGAACCCAACTTGGGGAGCAGTCAGGCCTGCAACCTTTTCCTTTTCTTCTTCCCCAGTTTGGAAAAGGCATTTATTTTGCGGATATGTCCTCTAAGAGTGCCAATTACTGCTTTGCCACTCGCGAGAAAGACGTCGGCTTCCTCCTGCTGTCAGAGGTGAGATGATATTTTGGTGGGAGGCTAAAACATGAAAAACGTTTAACAGAGGGGTAGAATCAAGATCACGTGAAGTATTAATACCACTTTATAATGTCTTGGAACTATAATGTCTTCCACACTTGGAATACTGCATCCTGTTCTGGTCACCACAATATAAAAAAAGATGTTGAGACTCTGGAAAGAGTGCAGAGAAGAGCAACAAGAATGATTAGGGGGCTGCAGGATAAAACATGAAGAATAGGTGCAAGAATTAGATATGAGTGGTATGGTGGCCTAGAAGTGGAGCTCTGGCCTCACAATCAGGAGGCTGTGAGTTCAATCCTCAGTAGAGGCTGTGATGACTTGGGGTGTGACACAAAAATAACAAAGTCACAAAAGTAGAATACATTCCCTTTCATGCCTACAACTTGGCCCCAATGTCCAATTAGCCTCGGCTGGATAACAAACTCTTCAAAAAAACAGTCTACGAAGGGCAGAAATGCAGTCCGAACCCAAAGTAAAGATAATTAGAAATTTAAAAAACCGAACACAAGCCACACTGAAGTAATTAACATGGCAGGCCAGGATGATAAATTACAGACTTTCAAAGGATAATGCAGCACCCACAGTTGGAAGGACACCAAAACTAAGATAAGGCTCGACCAAGATAATGCACGCTTCCAGCAACTTTGCCATGCACAGTTTGCCCTTTTAAACAGTCTTCCCATGAAGGGGATCAGGGCCTTCTTCTCTCTCGCAAGCCATGTTGCTCCCTTCTCCGTTACTCCCTGCGTGCTCTAGGATGAAGAGGGGATGGCCCTGGGTCTTCCTCTGAATGCCCAGCTGGACTGTGTCCTTCCCCCATTTCCTCCACAGCCACCGGAGCCACACTCCCACTTCTTGTCAGCTGTTCAATTTCCCCCTCAGAATCAGACTCCAATAAGGAGTCTTTTATCTGTGGGCAAAGTTCTGCATTGGCAACAGGAAGGGCATCCAGCCAGTAAACAGCTACATTCAGTTTCCCAGTCTCCATCCCGCAAGAAATTATGGGATCGTTAAAAGAAGTTGCAAGAATTAGATATAGCTTGTTTAGTGAAAAGAAGGACTAGGGGGTGGCATGATACCAGTGTTCCAATATCTGCCACAAAGAAGAGGGGGTCAACCTATTCTCCAAAGC